TGAGTCTGAGGGACCCTGAGTCTGAGGGATCCTGAGTCTGAGGGACCCTGAGTCTGAGGGACCCTGCCACAGAGGCCGGGAGGCCCGTGGACGTCAGCTGTGAGTCTGAGCGTCCTGTGGGGCCTCTGCTGCCCGCGCTCAGCACCGAGGCGCCCAGGGTGGCAGGTCCGGGGTGTGCAGAGACGAGGTCACCGGGCAGTGGGAGCCCGGACACCGGAGGTCCGCCCAGCCCCGGCCCGACCTCCTGTGCCGTCGCTCAGGGCTGTTCCTGCTTCGAGTCCAGATTCCCTGACATCACCCGTCTACCCCATGTTGCCAGAGGGGAGGCCAGGAGACCCCGAGCGTCCACCTCTGTGCGGTCGATGGCCCCAGGCTGCTCAGCTTGAGTGCACTGTCCGGCCCTGGGCCCAGGACAGCCTCCCCGGGCACCCACAAACTTCTAATGGGGGGGGGGTCACCTCCTGTTGTGGCTCTCACTCCAATAAAGCAAAAAGAAAGGCATGGCAGAGAAAACGCAAAAAAATAAAATAATTATTCTTTTCTAAAGATTTAGGCTTTGAAGTGCTATTCATTTTATTTGTAACTTCTGCTTCATGGCCTGAAAGACAGTCAGGTGCTGAGAGCAGCTTCAGCTGGGGCAGTGAGGGTCTCCCGCAGGAAAGGGCATCGGCGAAGGTGAGAGAAAAGATGAGGCAAAAAAACGAGGAGCCGCAGACACCTGTCCAGGGCGAAAGCGTCTCCTGCCGATGGTCCCAGCAGGGCTATTTCCATGCCAGCCAGCGGTGGGATTAGGGTGTGAGCATAAAGCAGGAGATGACAAGCGTCTGTTTTCTTAGACAGCGGAGGACTTTGTGATCTCTTACTGAGGCTGTGATATTCATGCACAAATAGTTCCTAGAGTGGCCAGTCGTTAGTAAACAAATATTCCTTTGGTGATCAGGCATCAAACAAAATATTCTTGTAGAGGTCAGTTAACAAAATGCACAATGTTTTCACGGTGCTCAGTTAGCTATGGCAACTCAAGCAATCGTTCTGTTAACTTCTCAGTGAACACGCATCTTCAAGGGGCAGGGTCTAATTTAAGGAGCTGGGAGTCAGAAACGCCAGGGCCCTGACTTTCCCCTGCCCCTGGGGTAAAACCCCTTTGGATCTACAAAAGGAGCTTCTGTTAACCAGTATTTCTGCCATTGTTCCGTCAACCTTGTCTCTATATCTAACATAAGAGTTAGGGGAAAGTTTCTTTCTTTCTGGTCATTGATGACCGTCCCAGTAACCTTATCTAAAAAACCTTTCTATGTGAAAAGAGGTCGCGGTGAACGTTAAAGGAAGGAGTGGGAAACCTTATTATTATTTATAACTCTATTACTTAAGAGGGAACTATGTTACTTAAAACTATGGCTCTTTTCTTGGGGGCTGGGCAGGAAACAGCTGCAGCCTTTGGTTCCCAGAATTCTTGGACGTGACCTGTCTCTTGTTACTGCGGGACCTACGTTTGTGCCCGCCCTCTCAAGCAGAGGAAATTTATCACTTTACAATGGATGTGCCGTCCTGTGTACACTGCTACTGTGATTGAACCAATCAACCCACCAAGTGTCATGATTGATTTTACATTGAATGTGCATTTGGGCAGTTGCTGTGCTTCTTGGGAACGGCCGGAAACAAACGAAAAGAATCCAGCAGGACTCTTCAGGACTCCCACCCACGTCAGGGCCTTGTCATACAATGTGGGCAGCGTGGCCTCTCCAGTCAGTCACCACAGCAAACAGGACGGCGGACCAGACAGCCAGCCTGGATGGAAACGCCCAGAAGGAAACGTGTGTCTCGCTGCTCTGAGCCCGCTCTGGACAGAAGCCACACCCAGGAAGGAACGGTGGGGGCAGGAGGCAGGAGGCTGCGGGAGGCCGAGCCTGGGCTGTGACTGGACAGGAGGGCAGCAGATGCCAGGAAGTGAGGAGGAAGTGAGTGGGGAATTCAGGGCGCCCAGGCCGGGGGGGGAGGGGACTCTCTGTGTCCGCGCAGATTGCAACATCCCCCGGGGGGCCTGCCCCTCGGGGCTCCCTCCTGTGGCCCACTGGCCTCTGCGGGAGCCCTCACCTCGGTCCCGCCCAGCTCCCGTGCCAGGGACGCCCAGCCCGCCCTGTCCTGCTCCAGGCCTGGCCATCCGCGCCACGCGCGGGCTGCAGGGGCCCCTTCCCAGCCCGGCGTCCCCACTCGGGTCTCTGCTGCTCTTCCCGGGGCCGAAGACCAGGTTGAGGCAAAGTCCCCCGACCGAGCAAAGCCCACACTCGCCCAGCGCTCCCGGCCATCACATGCTGAGCGTCGCCACTGCGTCCCTCACGCGCCCCCCACCTGGCCGCCGTCGGCCGGCCCTGCTGTGCCTGCCGTCCTCACGCAGGGCGTCGCACACAGCCGCGGCGTGCGGCTGGCCGAAAATGTGTTCTGTCGAAGGCGAAAATCTGAATCGGTTGCAGGGACACGGACTGGCCATGCGGCCACGGGGCCCCCGTCTCCCGGGGGGGGACGCGTCCCCACACGCCTCAGCGCCCCGCCCGCTCCTGGTCTCCCCTTCGCTAGCGGCCCCCCGTGCCCGACGCAGGTGGAGACTGTTTCCTGTTGAGTCTTCCTGTCCTGCTTTCCTGCTTTTCCCACGAAGTCGTGGAAGTGGACAGATCCTCACGGCACAAAGCGCCGTGACGGCGGTGGCTGCTAATCGGAGCTGCACGGCTCGGCCAGCGACAGGCAGGACCCGCCGGCGACGCTGCCCAGCTCAGTCTGGACGCAGCGCACTCGGGCAGCGGCCTGGAGGCGGGGGAGGGACACACGTGTGCCCAGAGAGCAGGGCCACCACCCGCCCGGCTGGCAGAGGCAGAGTCCTCAAGGCCCGGCCAGGGCCCGCGGCCTCTCGGGAATGAGTGTCAGACAGAGGTGTGGGGGCCGCAGGACTCACCTCTCTCTGGGAGGTCAGAGCCCCCATCTCCTCCCGCCCTTCAGGGAAATCAGGAGTTGCCACAGGGGCTGTTACCGTCCTGAGCAACCGCAGAGGAGGAAGCCTGCTGGTCACGTGACGGAATGGGCCGCACCTCCCATCTGTGTCCCCAGGTTCTGTCTGTCCTACTGGGCTCTCATCGTCCGCACCACCGGGGACCATGGCAGGCAGCACCCCCATCCCGATCCTCACGGCCCTTCTCTGCCTGGGTGAGCTCAGGGGATGAGGAGGGCTGGGGTCCCCCCAGGCCTGTCCTGAGAGGCCCCAGG